TTTGTCATAGGGTGCTGGCAGATTACGGGCCTCCCATAGCTGCTGCCAGGCCCCTAATCTGCCATGGGCCCCTGTACCGCCTCCTCATGCTGCTGCCAGGTCCAGAGTCTCTCATGGGTCCCTGTACGGCCTCCCATTGCTGCTGTCTCCATCGCCACACTCTGCCATGTGCCACTTTCAGGTCTCCTCACACACTGCTGGTGTGTTCCATTTTTTGTCATAGGGTGCTGGCAGATTACGGGCCTCCCATTGCTGCTGCCAGGCCCGTAATCTGCCATGGGCCCCCGTACCGACTCCTCATGCTGCTGCCAGGCCCGTAATCTCTCATGGGCCCCTGTTGTCGCTTGTTGGCATATTCCGCTCGTTCAGATGCTCCTTCTCCTGCTACTCCTCTTCACGGATTCTGTCAGCAGTCTTTCTTGGAATCCGTTTCCAAGAGACAACAGTTTGCGAGCACGCACCCGACGGTGCAGAAGCTGAACGTCCTCCTGTCCAAGTTGCTGCTGCCAGGCTCGTAATCTGTCATGCGCCCCTGTACCGCCTCCTCATGCTGCTGCCAGGTCCAGATTGTGTCATGGGCCCCCGTACCGACTCCTCATGCTGCTGCCAGGCCCGTAATCTGTCATGGGCCCCTGTACCCGCCTCCTCATGCTGCTGCCAGGTCCAGAGTGTGTCATGGGTCCCTGTACGGCCTCCCATTGCTGCTGTCTCCATCGCCACACTCTGCCATGTGCCACTTTCAGGTCTCCTCACACTGCTGGTGGTTTCCATTTTTGTCATAGGGTGCTGTATGGCCTCCCATTGCTGCTGCCTCCACCGCCACACTGTGGCTCCACACTCTGCTTTTGGCCCCGTGACTGCCCAAATGAGTGAGGTGTGCGGTGATTCTAAGATCGACGGCACTCATCTGCATGTCATACTGACTGTCAGTATTATTTCTCTTCCCCAGCAGACTCCAAGGGCATTTTAAATTAAAGGTACAGTGTTCTGCACTAATATAAAGGCTCTCTGAAGCCTAGAAACACCCTTTTATAAGTTAAATTCGCAGCGAATATATTCGACTCGAATCAAAATTTTTTCACGAATTCGCCGAATCAGTCGAATCGAATTTTTGAATAATTCGCTCATCTCTACTATTATCCTTCCCTTGGGGAAGTCAATATTGAGTTATATCTACATCCCTTTTGCTTATATATTATATCCCAAACTCTTAAATCTTTCCTTGTCAACGGACTAGTATTCACATCCAATATACAAAATGTATGTGGTATCCAAATAATCTTCTCTAATTGTGCCTTCCTCAGAGTCCCTTCCATGTTTACCCAACATTTACCTTGTGAATTACAGTGAAGTGAATAAGTATTTGATCCCCTGCTGATTTTGAATGTTTGCCACTCACAAAGAAATGATCAGTCTAAAAATTGAATGGTAGGTGTATTGTAACACTGAGAGACAGAATAGCAACAAAAAATTCGTAGTGATCAAATCAAACTATCACATCTCTGGGGCTTTCCGCGAACACTCCTTGCAGCAGTCTAACCCTATGTACTCTCTCAATTTTCATGTGTTCTGTCACTGGTCTTCCCATTATTAGATTATACACTCTTTTTATTTTATCACGTAGATCTTTTCCTTGCTCTTCTTCTGGTAGACCCCGGATCCTTAGTTATTTCTTCTGTCATGATTCTCTTAGTCTTCCAATTTAAATGAGAGCGTTCTCTGTTCTCTCTGTTTCTACGTATCTCCTCCACCTGCGTTTCTAATGTATTGATTACTTAAGTGAGTGCCTCCATTCTCCCCTCCACTTCTTCCACTCACATTAGTATTCGACCCCAGGTCATTGTGTAATACCTCCATTCATTGGTCTGCTTCCCTTCCCTCCGTGACCCAAATGACAGTGCTAGATTGATCTCCATCAGCTTTTTCTAGTAGGTTTTGTTGTTTTCCCAGTTCGTTATCTCCGGGACTCTCATTTTTCATAAACATCTCCAGTTTCGTGAACATTTCTGCCATCTCAGTTTTTGTAGGTATTTGTGACATAGCTCCTTGTTGTTTTCCATGACACTTATCGATTCATTGGTCTGCTTCCCTTCCCGTGACCCAAATGACAGTCTAGATTGATCTCCATCAGCTTTTCTAGTAGGTTCTTGTTGTTTTCCCAGGTTCGATTCTCCGGACTTTTCTCCTGAAGGGGCATATATTTTTTAATTGTACTAATATTTGCATTTGATTGGGGGGTTTTCGAGCAGCCCCCCAACCCTCTTATTACTTACCTGAGCCCCATCACAATCCAGTGATGTGTACGAGAGGATTGGCGCTCTGGGGACTCTCTCTCCTCATTGACTCCGACTGCTGTTAATCACAGATAGTGAGCCAATGAGGAGAGAGAGGGGGTGGGGCCATGCCATGTGTGTGAATGGACACGCAGAGCAGAGGGTCAGGAGCAAGTCTGCTTGGGAGCCTCCTTAACAAGCTGCTTGCTTTGGAGGCACTTGGCAGGAGGATGGGGGCCAGGAGCGTTGGCAGGGGACCCAAGAAGAGGAGGATCGGGTGCAGGTAAGTATGACATGTGTGGTAATTAAAAAAATGACTTTAATATCACTTTAAAGTGGAGCTCCACCCAAAAGGGGAAGTTCCGCTTTAAAGACTGGTCCCCTGCTCCCCATTCAGGATTGGCATTTGGGGAGCAGGGAGGGAGCGGAAATTGTCCTCCCGCCTCCCTCCCTGTAGTCTTCTGGGACACGTGACAGGTCCCAAAAGACTACGGGACCATTCACAAAGTACAGCGCTACTCACGAAGCTGCAAGCTGTCACAGCCAGGTGCCCGTACTGAAGATGCCGGCGCCAGGAACTCTGGACAGCTGGTGGAATGGGCTGCGGACAGAACACTGTGGGACTGAGGGACAGGTGAATGGCTGTTTTTTAAAAGTCAGCAACTACTGTTTCTGTAGCTGCTGAGTTTTATTCTTTTTAAAGTGTGACTTTAAGGTGACAAAAAACCTTCCAATGCCTGTGCCCTCCGGGTCCTTTCTTGATCCAGCACTGTCCTGTGTTCTCCTCTCTTCCTGAATTCACAGGAGGCTCTGAGAGCAGTGGGAGCCATAGGCCCCTGCTGCTGTCAGTCAAATCCTGTGAGGAGGGAGCTGAGCCGCATTGTGTGTGCTTATGGATGCACACAGCTCGGCTCAGGAGTGCACCTGCATGAGTGCCCCCTCAGCAGCCAGCTTGCTGAGGGTGCATTCAGAGAAGAGGAGAAGCAGCAGAGAGAACCAGTGGAGGACAGAGCAGGTAGGGGACTGCTCTGTTCAATACCATTGCACAGAGCAGGTAAGTACTGTATAACATGTTTATTATTTAAATGTAAAAAACAAATTAAATCAATAATAAACAGACACAATTACTGGGTGACACCTAGAGTTTATCAAGGTCTTCCAGGGGTCCCAATATGAGATCATGGAAGGAGGCCCAGCACTAGCTATTCCTTCTCTGCACACTCTAGAAGTGGACACGTTTTTCACAGTTTTTTATCACTAGATTGTTTCACGGGCACGTGTTTACACATCTATTCACTTTACCATATAGTGATCACGAGTGTTTTTGTGGGAATCACATGTGTTATGGAATGAATAATTCAAGTTGTTAAGGATAATACACTATGTGTGTTTTCCTTTCTTTATTTTGAGGTTTTTTTTGGTTTCAGAAATTACTTTGGAGGCTGTCTTCACCTGGAGGTTGATTTTGAGATTTTGAATGACTGATATTTTGAAGGACTAATTTATTATTTTGGGACTTGTATGTTTTGTTTATTTTGTTTTGTTTTGAGCACTTATTATATCTGTATTTATACTTGGGATACTAAGCATATTTCATAAGATTATCACACTTTTTGGGGTTTAAATGCGTTTTGGGGAAGTTTGTGAATAAGGGAAGGGTACACCGTATTTGATTGTCATTTTTTGCACTAGGGGGTTTTATTTGTATTTATACTTGGGATTCTAAGCATACTTCATAAGATTAGTACACTTTTTGGGGTTTAAAGTGTTTATATGCGTTTTGGGGAAGTTTGTGAATAAGGGAAGGGTACACTGTATTTAATTGTCCTTCTGATAGCCTACCACACAGCAAAAGTGGACTCCGGGTGCAGGGAAGCAGAGAGGGATTGAGAGAGTGTGGATTGGTGCATACAGTATATTTTGCTGGGGAAAGTGGCATACACTGACAGTGACAGCAGTAGTAAACATTGCGTACTAGCACATTATGAAAGACTTACTTTGAAACAAAGCTTTCCAGCAGTGCTCTGTCACTGCTACAGAGGCTTCCATCCTTACCCGGTCTTCCTTCCGAGTTTGCAGGCTGCAGCCACTTGAATGACCGAGCCGCGATGATGTCACTCCCGTGATACAGAGCTATGATGTCACTGGCCGCTACTCACTAGAATATCTCCTAAATAGTGCATGTTTAGGAGATATTTTGCCTACAGGTAGGCTTTATTATAAGCTTTATCTGTAGGTAAAAATAAAAATAGGGAGTGTAATACCCCTTAAAGCCAGGTCAGACAGTTTGGACAAATTTTGTTTGGCTATAACATTAGATTTATTAATGTTTTTTTAAAAAAACCCTGTCACTAGAGAAAGGTGTGCTGCCATTGCTAACCTCCTTCTGGAAATGCCTATTGTTGAGCTATCATGCTATCATGCTAGACCTCTGACTTAATTGCTTCTGAGTCCTTGACTTGAAACTAGTATCTGTATATTTGCTCCATGTCAGTCATGTCAGAGGATCAGCATAACATACAGTCAACTAGCATTAAGGAGGTAATTAATGGCAGCTCACATGTTCCTCCTATCACAGGTACCCTTTCAGGTAGAAATGTAATAGATCAGTGGTTTCCAAACTGCGCCCCGAAAGCCGGATGTGGCCCTTTGCTTCATTTTATCTGGCCCTTGGGGCATTAGCAACAGTGGGGCATAGTTCTTGCCACTGACACCAACAATGGGGCACTATTTCTCCCACTGACACCAATGATGGGGCAGCATTTCTCCCATTGACACCAATGATGGGGCAGCATTTCTCCCACTGACACCAATGATGGGGCACTATTCCTACCACTGATACCAATGATAGGACACTATTCCTCCCACTGATACTAATGATGGGGCACTATTCCTATCACTGATACCAATGATAGGACACTATTCCTCCCACTGATACTAATGATGGGGCACTATTCCTACCGCTGATACCAATGATGAAACACTATTACTCCCACTGAAACCAATAGTGTTACACTATTCCTCCCACTGCCACCAGTCATGGGGCATTTTTTACTGCCACTGACACCAAGACTTTTTCTATTCCCACTGGTCACAGTCCGGCCCCCCCTAAAGGTTGAAGGACAGTAAACTGGCCCTTTGTTAGAAAGTTTGGAGACCCCTGTACTAGATGATAAATCCTCAATCATAGTGTTGTCTAAAAAAAACAAAAAACAAAACACTTGCAAAAAAACCTTACAAACACAATGATGCACTTCTTTACGATTTGTTAAGTTTAATTCATCTTTTTGGCATTTTTATTTCTCCATATTTTTTATCCTTTGAATTTATTTCACCACCAACTTGCATCATACCTCTTTTTCATCTTCCTATATCTTTTAGTCCACATAATTGAACTTGCTTGTCTATTTCTTCCTTCATCTTATTTGCCTCTTATTCTCCTGTTCCATTCTCCCTCTTCCCCTCCTCCTCTGATACTCATGTTCATTATCTGCTCTGAGGATCAGTCCTGGAGACAGAGCGGCAGCCAACTCTGTAAAGTGAGATCTCTGTCTACAGACAAAGAATTCCAGGAGCTGAGCGTGTTCTGCATACAACTGCGGCACCACCAGCAGCAGCCTTATTAATTCCACCCCTCTTAAGTGAGCGTCTAGGGTATTGGGCTATTTATGTAGCAATATGTTGCATTAGTGAGCTCCAAACAGTACACAGAGGTGGCAGCGATGCATTGCTTTATTAACCCATAAAATAGCACAGGGCCCAATTTAACTATAAAACAGGTAAGGCGGATTCTTAATAGCATCAGCTATAGAAAAAGCATCGGCATGTTCAGTAGTGCTGTAAGCCAAAAGCAAAACAATTGTTCACGCGCACTGAATAAGGAATTAAATGAGCTGCTGAGCACAGATTTCTAAGAGGACTGCCCAACATTTATAACAAACCTGTCAGTATGATGCTTTATGCAAGCAGTAGGTACTATTACTCTTTCACCAAAAATAAACATTGGTAGAGGCTTAGAAGACATTACACAACAGCTGTTTATTAAATAAATTATTTGGCAAAGAAATGATGCTTCATAATCCAGATTATGCTTGGGCTGCCACAGATCCAGTTTTTCGCAGGACAGTTTGGCTCCTTTAAAGCCAGCTTCAGGATATTAGGAACCCCCACTGACACCCCTGTAGACAAGTGCCTACTTAAAATTGTTATGCTATTATGGTAATTGTTGGCTGGTGCTGAAGGGACTAAAAAAATAAGTCAACGCAAAATGTCCTATTTCTGATATGTGCCTGCTGTATCATGTACTTGTATGAAAAAATATCCTGTCCTCTTTGTATTGCTTCCTGTGTGAAATATCTGGTGATCCTGCCAGTCTCTTTCCAATTAAAAACTGACCACACGAAGTAGGAGAACACAGAGTGGTCAGTTTTGGCAGACTGAGAACTCATGGGGCCCCTGGGCAATAGGAGATCATGGGGCCCCATGTGTCCCCACCCACACTCAAGCCACACTTACACAAAGCTCCACCTACATATTTAACTGCCTACATTACATGCATTTGTGACAGCCATCCTCCACATATTACATCCTAGCTGCACAGAAGGGCCTGTCAGCAAACTGCGTAAGCTGTTGGGCCCCCATTTTCAGGAATGAGCCAATGCCCAATTCTTGTCTGCAGCTTATGTTCACAGAGATTCCCCTTGCCATTGCTGGAAAGCACATGGCAGGTTCAAAGGTGGTGACCATCTAAGAACCTATCCGGTGCCCAACAGCTTCCCAACCACGCCTCCAGGAATCTCTGTGAGCCTGATCATTTGGTTATTATAGCTCAGCTATATAGATGGGGCATTTAAATATCTACTGCAGCATAGCATGCATGGAAGTTCCTGGCTTCTGTAGAAGTCAATGGGCACTTTAAGGTTTGAACGATGTGCAGCAGCCATCTTTATGACGCAACCAGGGGCATTCTATGAAAGCAGTGGGCCTGTGTACAAGATCATAATTTGGGGCCTAATGCTAGATAAAGAAGGGCAGTGCACGCAGCGTGCTGCTACAAAAATTGGATGTGGTTTTCAGGGACTGTAGGTAGCACCTACTTGCTACATAATACAGTAAAGATGCCCAATGATTGAGGAATTAAAGTGGTTGTAAAGGCTCAAGGTTTGTTACCTTCATGCATTCTATGCATGAAAGTAAAAAACCTTCTGTGTGCAGCAGCTCCCCCCCAATACTTACCTGAGCCCCATCTCGATCCAGCAATGTGCACAAGAGCAGTGGCTGTCCCAGGTCTCTTCTTGCTCATTGGCTGAAACAGCAGACATTGGCTCCCACTACTGTCAGTCACAGCCCGTGAGCCAATGAGGGGAGAGCGGGGGGAAGGGCAAGCAGCTTGTTATGGGGGCACTTGGCAGGGAGCCAGGAGCACCGGCAGGGGACCCGAGAAGAGGATGGAGGCTGCTCTGTGTAAAATCACTGCACACAGCAGGTAAGTATGACATGTATGTTATTTAAAAAAAAAAAATGGCAATCATTTTAATTGCTTTGTTCGGCCATTTGGCTCCCACTTAACTCCTTCCTAACAAGATTGCCAACCCCTCCACAATTTTGATTTTTTACATGGAAATTTTACTGACGGAGTGCATTTTTTACTGAGATTCTGAATTATGACAGAATTCCCTATTAGAAACTAAGAGGTGAAGAGTGAGGTGGAGGGTTATAGACAGAAGAGGAGAGGGGGGAGGAGAGATAGGAATAGGAGGGTGGATGAGAGATGGGGGAGATTGGAAAGTAGGAGAGAGATGGAGGAAGGGGAGGGTTGGAAGAGGGGGGAGAGAGAGGGTGGGGAGAAAGAGAGAGAGAGTGGGAGGTGAGAGAGGGGGATGTGAGAGAGAGTGAAAGAGGGGTTGAGGTGAATAAGATAGAGAGGGGGTGAAAGAGAAAGAAGGGATGAGAAAGAGAGAGGGGGTGAGAGAGCGAGGGGGGTGATGGGGTGAGAGAGAAAGTGGGGCAAGAGAAGGGAGGGGTGAGAGAGAGGAGGGGTAAGAGTTGAGAGAGAGAGAAAGAGTGAAGGGGCAAGAGAGAGGGGAGTGAGAGAGAGAGACAGGGCTGAGAGAGAGAGAGAGGGGGAGAGAAGGGGTTGAGAGAGAGAGGGAAGGTGAGAAAGGGAGCGAGGGGGGTGAGAGAGAGAAAAAGACAGGGGGTGAGAGAGAGGGGAAGGCGAGAGAGAATGGGGGCAAGAGAGAGAGGGGGCAAGAGAGAGAGGGGGTGAGAGAGGGGGTGAAAGAGAGAGGAATGGTGGGGGTGAGAGAGAGGCGGGGTGAGAGAGAAGGGGGGTAAGAGAGAGAGGGGGGTGAGAGAGAGTAGGAGGTGAGAGATAGGAGGGGGTGAGAGAGAAGGGGCAGCAAGAGAGAGAGTGGTAGGTGGGAGAGAAGGAGGGAGGCGAGAAAGGGGGAGGGTGAGAGCGAGAGAGAGGGGTAGAGAGATGGGGTGAGAGAGAGAGGGCAATAGAGAGGCAGGAGCGAGAGAGAGAGAGGGGGGTGATAGATAAAGAGGGTGAGAGGGGGGGGATAGAGAGAGGGAGGTGAAAGAGGGGGGTGAGGGAAAGAGGGTGAGAGAGAGGGGAGGGCAAGAGAGAGGGTGACGAGAGAGAGGGTGGTGAGAGAGGAGAAAGAGAGAGAGAAGTGTGGGGGGTGAGAGAGAGAATGGGGATGAGAGAGAGAGGAGTGGTGTGGGGGTTTAGAGAGAGGGACAGAAGTGAGAGAGGGTAAAGAGGGTGAGAGAGAGGGAGGCGAAATATGGAGGGAAGGGGTGAGCGGGGGGGGGGGTCAGTATGTCTACTACTCACAACTATGGCCCCAGGCTGCTCTCACCTGTGTTAAATCTGCAGCCTTCATAGCCCCTTTCACAGCAGTGTGTGCACTGTACCATGGTCCAATATTCTTTTATGCTCTTGGTTTGCACTCAGAAGAGAAGATTACCCTCCATCGACACACAGGATCATCTCCGAATCATCCCAGCTGGAGACACAATCAACACAATAAAAAAGGAAGATCAGAGCTGCAGAGCTGGAGCAGTGAGTGAACCTGGAGGCAGGGTCGCAGAGGAGGGGCGGGGCTTGCTATGTATAGCTTTCCTAGAGGGGGTGTTACCGGTTCTGTTGCTGAACACCGGGCTCTCTGTGCTGTCTGCTCTCAGCTGTCTCCATTCTGTCCCCAGGTTAGGGGATCTGTGCGTGTAGGGACCATCACGTCACTGATCTTTGGGGACTAACAGCAAACTGTAGAGGAGAGCACCATGTACAGAGACTGATGCATGATTGGTGCTCTGCAACAAGTAGAGGGCAGTGAAAGAGCCTCTCATGGGTTCCCTACTAGCCCGGGCCCTGGGGCAGTGCCCAAGTGCCTAAATGGTCAGTCCAGCCCTGTTCTCTAGCTATGCATTAAATGCAGCCTGCTCTCCTACAATGATCAGACTTGTCCCACTACACTCCCCCAATCCTGCACAGAAAAGATCAGTGTGCTGTTGCTTCTCCTTCCCCAGCTCTCTAAGATCCTTATGCAGCTGGGAACAGAGGGTATGTGATCACTTAGAAAAAAAGGTATTTATAAAGTTTTTTATATGTATACACAAATGTTTTGTCTTTCATTTATATTTTTTAAACTGATTGTTTTACAAGGTGAGGGTTCACATATACTGTACTAAGCATTTCTTTTTGTGAAATGTCTTCCCTTATTTGTGTCACTTCCGTCTTGGAGGTAATATTTACAAGGGAAGACTGACCTTGTGTTGCCCTCCTGGCACAGGAGTTGTGAGGACTAGTGTTAGTATGTAACCTGTTTTGTCAGCAGCATAGCCCTTTAACAGGTCCCAGTTGAATGGACTCTAAGCTATTACTGGAAATTGATTTTTCTGATAAAAGGTATGGGCAGCACCACAAAGGAGGATAGCACAGCCAATTGAAGAGCACAGCCAAATGTACTGTACAGTGTGTATTCAAGAATACCGTATTTTCCGGCGTATAAGATGACTTTTTACCCCTTGGAAATCTTCTCAAAAGTCGGGGGTCGTCTTATACGCCGGTATACGGCATGCTGACACTTTTTAGGGGGGCGGCACGGTGCCGCCGCCGCTGCCCCCCCCCCCCTTCCAATGGAAGGGACACTAAGTACAGGGGTGGGCAGGGGCTGCTGTTTCTTACCTGGCTCCGGTCCCACGACGATCCGGTCCAGGAAGCGCGGCTGCTCCTTCATTCAGTTCGGCCACTGGATGTTCGCGCGGCTGCTCGGCTCCGCCTCCTCACCGGTGATTGGCCACCAGAACTGTAGCTCAGGAAAGGCACACAGGCGGCCAATCACTGGCGAGGAGGCGGAGCCGAGCGGCCCCACGAAAATCGAGTGAAGTAGTGGCCGGTAAGTGTGCCGTACAGAGGTGCTGCTGCAACCACATATGCTGGCTGCAGCAGCACCATACTGGAACAGGGGTCAGCAAGTGTCATTGGTGTCAGTGGGAGGAATAGTGCCCCATCATTGGTGTCACTGATACCAATGAGGGGGCATTATTCCTCCCACTGACAGCAACGATGGGGCACTTTTCCTCCCCCCCCACTGACACCAACGATGGGGCACTATTCCTCCCCCCCTCCACTGACACCAATGATGGGCACTATTCCACCCCCCACTGACACCAATGATGGGGCACTATTCCACCCCCCACTGACACCAATGATGGGATACTATTACTCCCACTGACACCAATGTTGGGACACTATTCCTCCCACTGACACCAATGATAGGGCACGATTCCTCCCACTGATACTAATGATGGGGCACGATTCCTCCCACTGACACCAATGATGGGGCACGATTCGTCGCTCTGACACCAATGATGGGGCACTATTCCTCCCACTAATACCAATGATGGGGCACTATTCCTCCTATTGATACCAATGATGGGGCACCATCCCTCCCAGTGATACCAATGATGGGGCACTATTCCTCCAACTAATACCAATGATGGGACACTATTTCTCCCACTGACACCAATGATGGGGCACGATTCTTCCCACTGGTGTGCATTGGAAGAGGGGTAGTCTTATATGGCGAGTATAGCCCAAACACTACATTTTAACAGGAAAAGTAGGGGGTCATCTTATACGCCCCAGTCGTCTTATACGTCCAGTCGTCTTATACGCCGGAAAATACGGTACTTGCCATCTAATTGTTCTACCTCAGCATGTAACCACTATCTGTTAAGTAAACATAGTTCTTGCTATGGAAGATATTGCCTGGTCTCCATTACCTGAAAAAGAAACCAAGTGTGTTATTACCAGTTGTATTCATGGTGTATCCAGAGAACTGGAAAGTCCTGAGTAACAGCCATGATTAGCCCTTCGGGTTATGAATAGAGTGAACAATACAGTTAACCCTTGTACTTATGGTGTGGAGTGTAACAAGAAGGAGAAGCAGCCAGCTGGGAAGAAGAAGCAGTAATGGCGTGCATGATGAAAGTTCTGTGAATGGAGTGGCCTGGCACTTGGCACTCTACTGAGAAGTCAGTCTCCATATTGGGACCTGCTGCAGTGCACAACTCTACTAAGTACTAAGCCTGGGAACATGTCTGTGAAAGCCTTGCAGAACAAAGTGCAGTAGATTCCTTCTTTGTCTTCGAGCTGAACAAGGGTAATTAAAAGGGCAATGGGTCATAATGAGCTGATGGAGATAAGTCAGTGTCCTACACTACTTTCTAAAAATCACTTCATAGTCTATTGCCGGAACAGATGGGAACAGACAATGTCACCAGTTGAAGAAGAGACATCTTCCTTCTGTGTGTGAGAGAGACACTGAGAGTGTTGCTAAGCCTCAAGAAGTAAGTGAAAAATGCCCTCTGCCCGATCCCTCTAACTGGTATGAAAAAAAGTGTCCAAATGCCCATTTTATGTACCTTAAGCCACAATCATGTGATGAATCCTCTCTTTTCTTGTGTTTACTTCTTTTGGTCCTTCTTCAAGTGTCCAGGTCACTGGCTGTGTGTCACCTCTACTATTGATGGAGGTGACAATTCTAGCAGCTGAGTCCTCTCTCATAGTCTACAGAGACAGAAGAACTGAAGGAGGCTGTGAGCATAAGAAATTGTTCAAGAAGATAATGAGTGGGAAAAATGCCTGGTCCCCAGGGTGGGAAATTAGCTTCGCTCACAAACAAAACTGTGACTTTGATCCATTACACTGCAGGATGGCTTATAAAGAGGTGTCTGAAACCAAGGCTGAGGAGTAATGCAGGGTAAACACAATAGGTCTGACAGATAAACTGACATACTGTACTAACGCAACCAATGTTAGTACAGTGATCTCCCCCGCTGTGCTATTGTGTTCTGACAGGGAGACCGCTCCCCCGCTAGGACACACTGAGCAGCGCTAGCAGCCATTGGCTCAGAATGCTGATTGGATGCTGGTTGGCTGCTGGTTTTCCAGCATGCCCGTTCAACAGAAACCAGACGTTGGACAGGCTGATGTACACACTGGACGAATGTCGTTCGGTTTTTTCTGTTGAACTTGCTGATACTGGCCAATATTCAGCCAGTGTGTACCAGCTTTAATGTAATTGAGGCACAATGCACTACTTAATTTAAATTTTTTTGCTTGGTGATGGGCTTTAAAGTGGTCTATCAACATGCGGCCACTTGTATGTAAAGAAGACCAGAAGACTGCATACACTTACCTTTCCAGATTGTTTCTTGAAAATCCACCTTTCTTTTGGAAAGTATATGCAGTCTTTTAATTGCACTTATTTTTACACTCTAGTGACCCTGTGTGGTCAGTGTCGCTTTAGAGAATTGTTCTAGACAACATAACTGGAAAAGACATAAGTCTTTTAAGTGCAATGGGTCCATTTTACTTTTCAAGATCCAGCTCTCAGAAAACTGTGCCTAGTGTACAGTGGTACTATTAACTCAGTGCTTCCAGTTTGAACACTTTCTACTTCTGGTCCCTGCTACTTTATGAGTGGACTTACTGATGACAATAGAAGTCTTTGGGACCACCATTTCTAGTGACAAATTCCTTTTATAAAATAGCAGGGACAGGTGGTAGAAAGTGACCAGAATAAATACATGGCACTATTGGTACGGCTGTGGTTCAAGCAACTAAAATGTCCCAGAAGTCAGTGGATAAGCCATGTTCAACACCAGAATCAGATACCAAGCACAGATCAAAAAGATTCAAGCTTTTTTTTTATATAGAATCAAATACAACAATCACAAATACTACGTAAACAGGCTAATGTTCAGACACCTTTTTTTTATGCTCAAGCTAGTGGGAAAGTGAAAAAGGTATAATGCCAATTTGAAAATAAATTTGCTAAAATCTATACATAAACAGGAAAGTAATGAACAGATGCATTGAACAGTTGACTAAAAATTAAGTAACCAGAACTAAAAATGTATTATATTGCAGCTTATCAGTCATTAGATCTGGTGGCTACATAAGTTTTCTTTTCTTTGGCTTTCTTTCCTCTATTTTCACCTGGTGACCTGGCCAGTAACACCTCCTGTATTAATGATACACCATTTTGTAGGAATGAGCACAGGACACAGCAGACATAGTATTGTAAGTCTGGGGAGGAGGAGAGTGTTAAATGTATTAGTAGATTTAAAAACAGTAACTAATTGAAGCCAAACTCCAGCTCACACTTTATAATCAGTTACAGCAAACAGTGTTTTTTTCATTTTGAGATAAATAAAATCTGATAATTTTAGCCCTGTTAGTGGTAAACTGATCGTCTCATCCATCTAAATGGATACATTCTGCTGGGAGCTTGAACATATGAAAAACAGCAGAGTTGCTGGCTGAATTACCAGATGAAAATGGAAGTGTAGCCATCACATCTAAGAACTGGTAAGCCGCATAATAATAAATGTTTGCTTTTTCAGTTTAATACTGCTTTGTGTTTAGCGTATATGTCCATCAGTCCTCTTGAAAAGCCTTTAAACATTTCACCTTTTGAAATAACTTTTTGGACATGCACCAAAGACTGAAGTTCATTTTCCTTATGATGCTGATTTTTTTTTTCCTCTTGGAGCTTTGATTGAAATTGTAATGCATTTGCATCAAACACTAACTGATACACATTTCCAAGTGTTTTCTTCACTGCCAGAACCTAAGCTGATATATTAGCAACACTGCCTGAGTGACGGAGATTGGGTGGTGATCAGGCTCCCCAAACCTCTGCAGCCTCAGTAGGAGGGACGTTTACAGGTTCAGTTGACTACTGCTACATCACTCAGGCTTGAGGCTAAGCCCATTTGGTTCTTGCCTCCCAGTGCAAAAAGCTTTCATTCCCTGCACTTCGATCTCAGCAATCCAGGCAGTTTCTGAGAGCGGTACAAACAAATGGCAACCCCCCCAAGCTATAACTGGCATTTGTAATAAGGAGCACATGGAAGAGTGAAGCATGCCAAAAAACAACAAACAAAAATTCCCAGCTCACTTGCTAGCCAGCCTGCAACAAAATGAATTAACCCCATCTAACAGTCTAACAGAAACACTCCTAAGCTCCCTAGACCTTCCAACAGAAATACAAATTTCTGGTTGTGTGATAATATTTCTGTAACTATTTTTGGGAGACTGATTGAGGTTCCCTATGTGACAGATGTGGCGTCAGACCCCCAGTCCTTCTCACCAACTCGTGACCAAAGGACTAGCCAATCTAAAACCGCGCTGTCACGTGCGGAACAATACCACGCTCAGCTGCACCCTGCACAAAGATTTTCCAGCTAATGGACCACAATCTATGTACTGCAGCCTAAGAGCGATTGTTACTGGGTCAGGTTAATTACGCAATTAACCCTTCACACTGCCACCACCTCCTTTTTGTACAGAGAAGGAGGAAACTCACCAATCTTAGCAGTAACACTATGATGTTTGAATAAGCATCTTTATACACACTGTCACCACAGGCAGATGTATCCAGAGGTTTTAAAACACACAGTAGCTGTCAGAGCCTGGGATCGAACCTGGGCCTTCTGCAGTGAGAGGCAATGTTTCTTCTCACTGAGCTACCTGGGATGCTGGACTATACTCTGCATAATCTATTGGATAATCCTGCCTTGTTCCTTGTTTGCTCTTGAACCTTGAACTCCTTGCTCCTCCCATGAACTTCCTATAAAAGCCATGTCCATGCATTTCCTCCTTGCTAGATTATTGTGCCTTCCCGTCAATATCCCGCTCATCTGTACTACTTGTCAGGGCTGGGCTGTGGAACGAACAGGTAGGCCTAGTGGCAGGGTAACGCACTGGCTGACGACAACCACCACCAACAGACCGAAGTCCCTCAGGGCGCGGAGTCTAAGTCCCAGGCTGCCCTTCACCAGGGCCCCTGATGGTGGGGATGGACTTGACGCAGCCAGGAACCAGGTCGCGGCCCCCGAGACACCCCGGCTGCGGTAATGGCCGCCGCCAATGGCGTGTAGCTGGTGAGAATGACAATAGCGTAGTCAGGCAAGCCGGGTCGACAACAACGGGACAAAACGGTACCGGAACAGTAGACAGAGAATCACAGGTCACGGGCCGGGTTCAGCAACGGAAGGTCAGATCGAAGGAAAACACAGAGAATGGTCTTAGGCACAAGCCGAGTCAGATACCAGAAGAGTCACGAGCGTATACACAGAGCTGTAGCAAGACAAAGACACAAGACACAAGTGCAAAGAGCATGTGCGGATCACAGGCTTATATGTACTCAGCCACACCCCTCTGGGGGATGGACCTCAGAGACCTCAAGGCATAAAAGATTCCCACCATGCTCAGCAGAAATCCAAGATGGATGCCAGCACATGGAGTAACATAACCTCTGGGAAAAGGTAGGACCTTGACACTACTGCTGTCTATATCGTTTATGACCGACTTTTGGCTTGTGACTGACTTTGCTTTCGTCTTATCCCTAAACTGTTTGATCCGCTCTAGGTTTCCAGCCTGCCCTTCCCCTGGTGGGGTGATCCTGAGACTGCGACCTGGTATTCACACGCAGCCAAATCCATCTCCACCATTAGGAGCTCTG